CCTATTCTCTCTGTCCTCATTCTATATCTACGGTTCACCCGTCTCTCTCTGCTCATTCATATATCCAATTCGGTTCACCCCCTCTTCTCTCTGCTCATTCTTTTATCATACGGTTCATCCCCTTTCTCTCTGTCTCATTCATATATCCTACGGTTACACCCCCTCTTCTCTCTACTCATCATAATCCTATCGGTTTCACCCCTCTTCTCTCTGTCTCATTCTAACTACGGTTCACCCCCTCTTTCTCTTGCCATCATTCATATCCTAACGGTTCACCCCCATCTTTCTCTGTCTCATTCTAGATTCACTGGTTACCCTCTTCTCTGCCTTTCTATATCCACGCGCATTCTATATCTAAAACCCCTCCTCCTAAAAGTTTCACCCCCTCTTCTTCTGTCCATTCATATCCTACGGTTCACCCCCTCTTCTCTCGCCTCATTCTATATCCTACGGTCACCCCTCTTCTCTCTGTCTCATTCTATATCCACGGTTCATTTCTCTCTCATTCTATATCCAGTTCTTCAACCCCTCTTCCTCTGTCATTCTATATCAGGTTCACCCCTCTCTCTCTGCCTCATTCTATATCTACGTTCACCCCTTTTCTCTGTTCTTCTACCACTCTTCCTGTCTCTTCTCCCTCTTTCTCCTTTCTTTCTTTAGCAGCATGATTAATCAAATGTTGCCTCTGTAACACATCAGTATTCCTCTGTAGTTGTTTCCATATGATACAGCACCATGTACACTGCAGTGTTGTGATCAACAGTAGCATGGCAGTGGCCTTTAGCATTACAATGGAATGGCCCCAGGCTAGTTGTATAGGGGATATGTAATTCCCTCGCTGTGTCACAAATACATGTGTGTTTGTGTGGTATGGTTTTACTATCCTTGTGGGGACCAGAAGTCCTCACAAGGATAGTAAAACAAGGAAAATTGGGGACATTTCGCCAGTCCCCACAAGGGAAAAGGCTTTTTTAGGCTCAGGGGTTAGAGTTAGAATTAGGGTTAGAATTAGGTTTAGGGTTAGAGTTAGGGTTAGTTTTAAGGTTAGGATTTTGGGGTTAAGGTTAGCGTTAGGATTAAGGGTTATGGAAAATAGGATTTTGAATGGGAATCAATTGTTTGGTCCCCAGAAGGATAGTAAAATAAACATGTGTGTGTGTGTGTGTGTGTGTGTGTGTGTGTGTGTGTGTGTGTGTGTGTGTTTGCAATAACCTTCAAGATGTACAGTATTGGGGCCCAAATTCACACCTTATTCACCTGTATGGGTCATAAAATATTACCATAAAGATATACAGTAAACTATCACAATGGAAATGGTTCTCTTATTCCACCCCTCTGTTTCTCTTTATTCCAGGTTCCATGTCTTGATGGAGACATTTTCATTTGTAATTCCCGAGACATTTCTTCCCATTCTTTCCAAGAAGTTGGATACACAACATCAGCATTCCCAGTAAACTGAGCACAATAATATTTGTTGTGCTACAAGAGATACACCAGATCACCCAGACAGACCAAGTCTCAAGGAACAGGTAACTGATTAGATTATTTTCTTGGTTTTAATATTGGTTTTCATTGAGCTATTCCAAATGAAGATGAAAACAGTAGATGGTTAGAGACGGTGAGTCACTCCTGCTCTTTTGGTCTTTACCATCTTACCTTCTCAGAATGTCCACAAGACAAGACCTGTCTGCTTACATCATCAGAGCATCTGTTTTAACAAAAAAGCTCTGTATCTGTATTGTCATGTTATTCCCAGGTTGGCAGAGACACAGGAGAGGCGTCATGGGAGGAACAAAACCAGATGGGATAAGAAATGTGATGACTGACTGAGCGAAATAAGAAAACGTCAGAGAAAGAAGGAAAGAGAGAAGGATTGTGTGTTCTATCCTTTCTCAGAAATGCAGCCTCTACATTCCTGTTACTATGCCTGAGAGAGGGAGGGCAGTAGACCAGTCCAAATGAACCCCTACGTCACCTCTCACTTTAGGAGGGATCTCTTTCCCCACTTCCACTTGTTGTAGAGGCTTCTCTTCTCTTCACCCCCCTCTTACTGTTTGTGTGACATGGGTACACCTGTCTGTGTCTAAACCTAGGACAGTAGGTAACACCTGTCTCTGTGTAAACCTAGGACAGCAGGTAACATCTCTGTGTAAACCTAGGACAGCAGGTAATATCTGTCTCTGTGTAAACCTAGGACAGTAGGTAACATCTGTCTCTGTGTAAACATAGGACAGTAGGTAACACCTGTCTCTGTAAACCTAGGACAGTAGGTAACACCTGTCTCTGTGTAAACCTAGGACAGTAGGTAACACCTGTCTGTGTAAACCTAGGACAGTAGGTAACACCTGTCTCTGTGTAAACCTAGGACAGTAGGTAACACCTGTCTCTGTGTAAACCTAGGACAGTAAGTAACACCTGTCTGTGTAAACCTAGGACAGTAGGTAACACCTGTCTCTGTGTAAACCTAGGACAGTAGGTAACACCTGTCTCTGTGTAAACCTAGAACAGTAGGTAACATCTGTCTCTGTGTAAACCTATGACAGTAGGTAACATCTGTCTCTGTGTAAACCTATGACAGTAGGTAACACCTGTCTCTGTGTAAACTTAGGACAACAGGTAACAACTGTTGCCTTGGTATTCTCCTGTGTTGTGCCTTTGCTACTCCTAGTCAGGGTGTTACACTGTAAACTGTCCTCAGTGATCTGGTCAAGGTGTTACACTATAAACTGTCCTCGGGCAGCTGGTGAAGGTGTTACACTGTAAACTGTTCCCCAGGAACCTAGTAACATGTTTAGCTTGTTCACTGGGGGTCAAAGACTTGCCAGTGTTCGAAACCACAGTCCACTGGAAATGTGTACGGAAGGTAAAGTCTAATATCACAACCAAACCTTTTTTATGTCATGTGGATTTGCCCTGAATCAAACCTTTTGAGTTTTCTTTGTTTTTGTTTTTATCCCTAAGGGATTTTGCATGCAACAAAAAAGAATTCTCCCATCCCCAAAATATGACCTTTGTTTGCCTCAGTGGGTTGTCGTTTTTACCTAGTCTTCCTTGCACGTCCTCTGCACATTATTCCCACATTTCCCCAAATATTTTCCAAAGGAATTAGACTGGAAGCTTTTCGAAAATGGATAAACGTGTGTGTTCTCTGTCAAGCAGGGTTGTTGAGTGTGACACTTGAACCAAGAGGAGAGAACTAAAGCCAAACCCTGTTTGGAAAAAAACAAGGACACAGCACCTCCCGTCCCAGGATCGGACAGGATTTGACCTCTGAAATAACATTTGATCTCTGAGTTTTCGTAGAGGTCATCCACAAGTGTATGCCCTGTGTGCCTGTTACCCCTCCCCTCTTTCCCCACAACCGGCCAATCGGATTCTGCTCCTCCTACACATACACATTCACTTTGACTCTATATAGGTGTTGTATAGAATTAATCCTGGTATAATATGTATAGGATGGTACACAAAAATAGGTACACAAAAAGTACACGCACTCGTACATGCCTTGGCGTTCTAGTCAAGTAATTTCATTCTCTCTTCTTTTCTTTCTTGTCTTTTGTTCACTTGTGTCTTTCTCCCTCATCCCCCCTTTGTTATAGAGAATTCTCCCATGCAGTTGTAGTGGAGAGTAAGTCTCCTTATGGTTGTATACATTTTGAAAACACTGAGTTAATCCGATGAAGTTGATCTGGTCAGTAGTCAGTCTGTGCAGTGTGTTTTGTACTGAATTGACAATGCCTTTGGGAGAAACACAGAGACCCTCAGGAATAGGATATCCTGTTTAAAAAAGCAGTCACCTGAGAGAGCAACAAACATATTTTAAATGTCTCTAAAAGTCTGATTTTGTTGTGCCGAGAACTCAAATGACTTTTGAGGACTTTTGTGGCTTGGAAAAGATACTTGGATTTGAGGGGAAACTGCTGGTCACAGTCTCCCGCTTGTGAGAGACACTGAGTGAGTATTATTTACACAGTGCATGGCTACTGTAGCTCATAAATGTATTCAGAGGCCCTGTAGAAAAGGAAACATAGATATAAAAGGGTGGAGAAACATTCTGACTGATAGGAAGTGAATGTATTGGAATTGTGTAACCATTATCTGAATCAATAGTCTAAGGAGTTCCTCCTCTGTTTCAATCTGCCCTGTGTATTTACCATGACCAAACCACTGGGACGTGAAGATCTTGGAATGTAAGAAACAGCATGCTATTCTTTTCTCTGCTGGTTGCATGCTAGATATGTGTTAGAAACATAGAGACCGTTTGACTGTACTGTACCCTGGATCTACCCCTGGACTCTGTATTGTCATATTGCACTTTAGTGAATGTGGGGAGTATATATCCTCAAAACATCTCCTTACTACTACCCCATTGTATCCCCAGCTCTCATCCTTTCAAGCTTCTCTGTTTCTGTCGCCTGCTCAATGTGTTTCCCTGGTGCTGTTTCAAAATGTCAGCAAAACTCCCGCTCCCTCGTAAGATGGCCACAGACTATGGGTCACTCCTGTTGATACCTTGGACACGTTGTGTGTAACCTCCCTCTTCAGCCCAAAGGAGTGTAAGTACTACAGGGACTATACAGTATTACTACCAGACTGCCTATTTGCTGCTGTGGAATACGTTTCTGAAATGACACTGCCTATTGACCAGAGGAGTATATACAGCAACGACTTGACCACTGAGCTTTCCTTCAAGAGAATGGAAGGAAGACTGTGAATCAGGACACAGTAGAGGTGTGAGTAACCCTGACTGTTATTAAAAACTTGTTTAAGTGGAACAATGATCCGGGAACTGCGGGAAGTAATCTACTGCTGGATACAGTTTTTCCTCATGGATCAACATTTACCACATCAGATGGATTACTTTTCACCATAGAAACAGTGGAACTGGAAAGAAGTACAGAACACCAGGTTTTTATCAATACCTAGGTGGTCACAAACTCACAAACCACATAGGAGTTGAGACTACAGCGTCATCAGCGTAAGACATTGTATTTAGCACCATGGGAGCGGCGCGTGTTAAGCGACGTTTCAGTGCGGTGGTTGACGGGCTGGTAGACGAGGAGGAAGTCATAAAGCTGGCTCTGAGTGTTACTGACACAGCCAGGGCGGGGGGGAGCACGGGAGGCTCAGGGAGCCCCACCAGCCCCTCTCCCACCCACAACCGCAATGGCAAATCACTCCCCCTGCAGGGCAACGGCAGCAATGCACGGAGGGCCAGCAGAGCCCAGGAGGCAGGAGGAGGGGAAGGAGGGATGAGAGGAGGAGGGCACTCAGGACTGAGGGGCGGGAGGGATGGAAGTCTGGGGGGAAGGGGAGAAGGCTGTTCGTCCTCGGACAGAGATTCGACACTGTCGTCACCTTCCTCCTCCAGCCGCCGGCCCACCCGGCGCTCTAGACGCCGGCCCCGTCACCGCTTTGTGGGCAAGGACGGGCGCTGCAACGTCACCTTCGTCAACATGAGCGAGAGGGGCCAGCGTTACCTCAGCGACCTCTTCACCACCTGTGTGGACATCCGCTGGCGTTGGATGCTCGTCATCTTCTGCCTCTCCTTCCTCCTTTCCTGGCTGCTCTTTGGCTTCGCCTTCTGGCTCATTGCCGCCGCGCACGGGGACTTCGCCATCCGCCTCAACCCCAGCTCGGGTGCCTCTTCCGGGGGAGGAGATGAGTCCGGGGCAGGGGCGGTGGTGGAAGTGGAGGAAACGTGTTTCGTCCAGGTGAACAGCTTCATGGCGGCCTTCCTGTTCTCCCTGGAGACGCAGACATCCATCGGTTACGGCTTCCGCAGCGTGACCGAGGCCTGCCCCCTGGCGGTGATGGCGGTCGTCTTGCAGTGCATTGTGGGCTGCATCATTGACGCCTTCATCATCGGGGCGGTCATGGTGAAGATCGCTAAGCCCAAGAAGCGTAACGAGACACTGTTGTTCTCTGACACGGCAGTGGTGGCGCTGAGAGACGGGAAACTCTGCATGATGTGGAGGGTGGGGAACCTACGCAGGAGCCACCTGGTAGAGGCACACGTACGTGCACAGCTACTGAAGGTAAGAAAGGAGAGAGTGAAGAAGATAGGTTGAGGGATGAAAGAAGGGAGCAAAGAGACTGAAGGGGGTGTAAACAGTAGAAGAGGCAGGACACATCAGGTAACTGTATAGAGAGAGAGAGAGAGAGAGAGAGAGAGAGAGAGAGAGAGAGAGAGAGAGAGAGAGAGAGAGAGAGAGAGAGAGAGAGAGAGAGAGAGAGAGAGAGAGAGAGAGAGAGAGGGAGGTATTGGTGAGGCCATCTGGACTGTACTCTGATGTCTGTGGTTAATGAGAGCTTGTTTTATTCTCCAGGGGTTTAGAAGATTTACCAAGGGATTAATTTCCCCAGGATTCTTTAACTCAAAACCAATGTGTGTGTATGTGGGTGTGTGTGTGTGTGTCTGGTTCTTTCTGTGTACTGTATACAGATAGTACTCTTGTCTGGCCATCTGTTAGTAATTTTGGTGACAGTTTGCGTGGTGGTGTGTGTTCTGACGTATTGTCTGCCTGTCTGTATCTATTGTGTTTCATGTGGCCCTTACCTACCACTGCTTTCATTGTCCTGTGGGTTGTAAAGCTCTAGAGCAGGGAGGTGAAGAGAGTGACATTTAGATATTTTTAAAAGCTTGACCATGTCAAAGTTCAGATGGGGCAGCTTTGAGTTTTGGGGGCTCATGGCAGAATTGTATTCCTCAATGCTGAGGCTGGGGATTGACTCAGGAAAAAGGTTGGGTAGTAAGCCTAGGCCTGCGGAGTATGGTTGCAGACTGGTGCAGCCCAAAAAATATAGGCAGGCGAGTGCTTTCTGTGTAACATAACACTTAAGGCTTTGGCAATATTTAAGATTGAACTGAACTATGCACAATGTTCCTGTAAACAATGTAAAAACTAAGCACTTAATCATTAACCTCATACCCTCTGTCTTCCCTTTCTCCACCCCTGTTCTTCCCCCCCTCCTCCCCCAGCCGAGGGTGACCCCAGAGGGAGAGTTCCTCCCGCTGGACAACGAGGACATCAACGTGGGCTTCGATACGGGAACCGACCGCATCTTCCTGGTTTCCCCGGTAACCATCGTCCACGAGATCAACGATGAGTCGCCGTTTTTCGAGATGGACCGTCGGACGCTGGAGGACGACGCGGAGCTGGAGGTGGTGGTCATTCTGGAGGGTATGGTGGAGGCCACAGCCATGACTACACAGTGTCGCAGCTCCTACCTCGCCTCCGAGATCCTCTGGGGTCACCGCTTCGAACCCGTGCTTTTCGAGAGGAAGAACTGTTACCAGGTAAGAGCGGGGAGAGGGATATAGAAACAGAAGGGGAAAGAGTTTCTGATCCGCTGGCTTCATCGTTACTTTTTCTTATCCCTTTATGTCAACATTTTAGCCATTCAGCAGACACTCTTATCCAGTGACCCCTCTGTTTTTCTTCTCCAGGTGGACTACTCCTTCTTCCACCGGACCTATGAGATTCCCAGCACACCCTCGTGCAGCGCTAAAGAGTTGGCCGAGCAGAAGTACATCCAGGGCTCACGCTCCTCCTTCTGCTACGAGAACGAAGTAGCTCTGCAGCTCGTCTCCCCTGACAATGACCCTGAGGGCAACCCTGGTGGCTGCCCCTCCCCCCTGACCCGCCGACCCTCCCTCTCACAACACCCCCACACCAACTAACCCGGGGGGAGAGGGAGGCGACAGGCAGAGGGAACATGAAGTGACCCGGGATCCACCGGAAGTCAGGGAGAGACAGAGGGATGAGAGAGGCAGAAAGAGACAGGCAAGATAAAGGTAAGTACTAGATTTAGGGAAAAGGACAACATTGAGAGTGAAGTTTAGAGAGGTGTAGAAAGAGCAACAGAGGACACGACATAGACGGCGAGAGACAAACGGAAAGAGAGATACTGTATACAGTCAAACAGAGAGAGAAAAGGACAGAAAGATAGGACAGAGGAGAGAGAGGGATAGACAGAGAAAGAGGGAAACAGAGCGAGAGTGAAGTGTCATTGAAAGGGGTAGATGGGCTGCTGCTACTCTGACTGAGTTGGCTGATTTGGACCCAGCGATCTTTCAGAATCATTATGAACCCGTCTGTCTCAGACCTGGCCCATCAACCAACCGCTACATTTACCACTGGCTCCAGCACCTAATTGATCACACATAGAACACTGACCCCTCGTGGCTTCAGTCTGTAACTGCAGCTCTGGTTCAGTTACAACTCACACTGGGCACATGGGAGTAAGGTGCAAGCTGCCCCCTAGACACTGAGCTATGGTCAGTTTAGCTTTTCTGCCCCCTAATGGTGAAGGTGAGGTTTTGGAGAGGCTAAGCTGATCCTAGAACTGTGCCTAAGGGTAACTTCTAACCTGTGTATGTTCAATACTGTGTGACAGAATGAGATAAAACGGAGTATATCTACACATTGAGGGATGCTTCTTATGAACTGAATTCTATGACAAGGCATTATTGATATGTTTTTGATTCTGGTAAGTAATTTGTGTTCTGTTAAGGTTTGAGCCAGAGGTCTGTTGTGTTAGACTACGTGTTAGAGCTGATGTGTAACAAAATGGATACAGAGAAACAGCTGAAAATAAGCAGCGATTTTAAGTGGTTTCTTTGACTTGTACTGTACTTTATGTTGTTATTCTGTATTTATAATGTAAGACTATTATCTATTTGCTTTATTTAATCAAACATTTGCATGTTCAACTGTGTGCAGTGTCAGCACAAAACCATATGAGTGCATAGTTTGGTAACATGTTATTTGAAGGTCTACTTCTAAACTAATGAATATATGTTTAATATGGTTAACTATGGTTAACAAACAAAGGTTTATAAGTACTTTATAAGCAGAACTTCGATTAAAAATGTACCTTATGTTATTTTTTTATTCTACAGTACCCAGCTGAAGGGACAATATTATGTTCATGTTTACCTCTGATGTCTTGAATATGAGATTCTGTCACCTGAGATTCTGTGTTCCTCAAACATTTAACTTTGTAGAATTTTCCTCTGTATTTTCTTTATTTAGTTAATTTGCTGAATACTGTATATTTGGATGAATTTTAAGGTGGAAGTGGGGGGGATTTCTTCCTTGATTTTGGAATCAGATGTTAAAGGTAGACTCAGCGATATGACGTAGATGCAGAAAGTAAACAGCATAGTGGGTCAATTTCCGCAAACAACTAAGAGCGTTGAAGTGTGAGGCTAAACGTCTCAGCTGTTTTGGTCTCGTACCTACCACGCTCTAACAGCGTGATCGAACCCGTGGCGCATGCGCAGATACTGTGTGTGACCAGGGGTGAAGGTAAGGCGGTATGGTCCGGTACGGTGTCCCGGCAAAATAAATAGTGGGGGTACGCCGTATCGGTAAAACATGAGCCTATCACAATAATTAAAACAAAATGTCAAGAAAACTGTAGGCTATTACACCATTATTTATCATTACCGTATGTCAGAGGCATGAAAAATGAGCGAATGGACTTGAAAACGGGTGGTATAGCTTACACTCCAAAATGCCATGTGGTTCGACAAAATGTTGCCAAGGCAGAGATGAATGGCTGACACCAAGACGCGTGCAGACAGCAGTGGATGCATAAATTCTGGCCTAATGACAATCACCAAAATGTCATTCAACTTTGTGGTGTTTTGTGTAACAGGTGTCTCTTTCCATTCAAACATCATGACTGGTGGTTTATGCCACAATAAAAGGTAATACATTAAAAAAGTGAAATAACAAATCTTTACGACTACGCCCGCAGAGATCCTAATGAATTAATAGGGATTCTATATGTCATTCTGTGATTAAGCGTGTGCACATAGGAGGTCCCGTACTGGGAAGAAATTGAATCTACTTTCACCTGTGTGTGTGACTGTGATAGTGAATTCTTGCATCTCACTCATCTCAATAGCTGCAGTGCTGCTCGTGGCAACGTAATTTAGCTGAGTCTACCTTTAAGGTGACGTTGTTGGAAGTGTCCAGGCCTTGGCAGACCACCCTAAACTGGGACTGTAAATGGACCGTAAACCTGTTGGACTGCAATGACCACTGGAAGCATGTACTGAGGACCTGAAATGTACAACTGTCACTTCAATGCAGTACATTTACAGTGGGGAAAAAAAGTATTTAGTCAGCCACCAATTGTGCAAGTTCTCCCACATAAAAAGATGAGAGAGGCCTGTAATTTACATCATAGGCACACGTCAACTATGACAGACAAAATGAGAGAAATAAATTCCAGAAAATCACATTGTAGGATTTTAAATGAATTTATTTGCAAATTATGGTGAAAAATAAGTATTTGGTCAATAACAAAAGTTTCTCAATACTTTGTTATATACCCTTTGTTGGCAATGACACAGGTCAAACGTTTTCTGTAAGTCTTCACAAGGTTTTCACACACTGTTGCTGGTATTTTGGCCCATTCCTCCATGCAGATCTCCTCTAGAGCAGTGATGTTTTGGGGCTGTCACTGGGCAACACGGACTTTCAACTCCCTCCAAAGATTTTCTATGGGGTTGAGATCTGGAGACTGGCTAGGCCACTCCAGGACCTTAAAATGCTTCTTACGAAGCCACTCCTTCATTGCCCGGGCGGTGTGTTTGGGATCATTGTCATGCTGAAAGACCCAGCCACGTTTCATCTTCAATGCCCTTGCTGATGGAAGGAGGTTTTCACTCAAAATCTCACGATACATGGCCCCATTCATTCTTTCCTTTAAACGGATCAGTCGTCCTGGTCCCTTTGCAGAAAAACAGCCCCAAAGCATGATGTTTCCACCCCCATGCTTCACAGTAGGTATGGTGTTCTTTGGATGCAACTCAGCATTCTTTGTCCTCCAAACACGACGAGTTGAGTTTTTACCAAAAAGTTATATTTTGGTTTCATCTGACCATATGACATTCTCCCAATCCTCTTCTGGATCATCCAAATGCACTCTAGCAAACTTCAGACGGGCCTGGACATGTACTGGCTTAAGCAGGGGGACACGTCTGGCACTGCAGGATTTGAGTCCCTGGCGGCGTAGTGTGTTACTGATGGTAGGCTTTGTTACTTTGGTCCCAGCTCTCTGCAGGTCATTCACTAGGTCCCCCCGTGTGGTTCTGGGATTTTTGCTCACCGTTCTTGTGATCATTTTTGACCCCACGGGGTGAGATCTTGCATGGAGCCCCAGATCAAGGGAGATTATCAGTGGTCTTGTATGTCTTCCATTTCCTAATAATTGCTCCCACGGTTGATTTCTTCAAACCAAGCTGCTTACCTATTGCAGATTCAGTCTTCCCAGCCTGGTGCAGGTCTACAATTTTGTTTCTGGTGTCCTTTGACAGCTCTTTGGTCTTGGCCATAGTGGAGTTTGGAGTGTGACTGTTTGAGGTTGTGGACAGGTGTCTTTTATACTGATAACAAGTTCAAACAGGTGCCATTAATACAGGTAACGAGTTGAGGACAGAGGAGCCTCTTAAAGAAGAAGTTACAGGTCTGTGAGAGCCAGAAATCTTGCTTGTTTGTAGGTGACCAAATACTTATTTTCCACCATAATTTGCAAATAAATTCATTAAAAATCCTACAATTTGATTTTCTGGAGAAAAAAATTCTCAATTTGTCTGTCATAGTTGACGTGTACCTATGATGAAAATTACAGGCATCTCTCATCTTTTTAAGTGGGAGAACTTGCACAATTGGTGGCTGACTAAATACTTTTTTCCCCCACTGTACGTACAGTGAGGGAAAAAAGTATTTGATCCCCTGCTAATTTTGTACGTTTGCCCACTGACAAAGAAATGATCAGTCTATAATTTTAATGGTAGGTTTATTTGAACAGTGAGAGACAGAATAACAACAACAAAAATCCAGAAAAACGCATGTCAAAAATGCTATAAATTGATTTGCATTTTAATGAGGGAAATAAGTATTTGACCCCTTTGCAAAACATGACTTAGTACTTGGTGGCAAAACCCTTGTTGGCAATCACAGAGGTCAGACGTTTCTTGTAGTTGCACACATCTCAGGAGAGATTTTGTCCCACTCCTCTTTGCAGATCTTCTCCAAGTCATTAAGGTTTCGAGGCTGACGTTTGGCAACTCGAACCTTCAGCTCCCTCCACAGATTTCCTATGGGATTAAGGTCTGGAGACTGGCTAGGCCACTCCAGGACCTTAATGTGCTTCTTCTTGAGCCACTCCTTTGTTGCCTTGGCTGTGTGTTTTGGGTCATTGTCATGCTGGAATACCCATCCACGACCCATTTTCAATGCCCTGGCTGAGGGAAGGAGGTTCTCACCCAAGATTTGACGGTACATGGCCCTGTCCATCGTCCCTTTGATGCGGTGAAGTTGTCCTGTCCCCTTAGTAAAAAAACACCCCCAAAGCATAAAGTTTCCGCCTCCATGTTTGACGGTGGGGATGGTGTTCTTGGGGTCATAGGCAGCATTCCTCATCCTCCAAACACGGCGAGTTGTGTTGATGCCAAAGAGCTCCATTTTGGTCTCATCTGACCACAATACTTTCACCCAGTTCTCCTCTGAATCATTCAGATGTTCATTGGCAAACTTCAGACGGGCATGTATATGTGCTTTCTTGAGCAGGGGGACCTTGCGGGCGCTGCAGGATTTCAGTCTTTCATGGCGTAGTGTGTTACCAATTGTTTTCTTGGTGACTATGGTCCCAGCTACCTTGAGA